ACCATTCTGTTGTCAGACTAAGAGTTTTTGATAATTTGCTTTGTTGCTTTATATTCCACAAATGAGGGAAATCATATGTTGTTTTTCTCTTTTGACTTACTTCACTTAGCATGAGTCCCCTCAGGTTTCATTTATGTTGTTGCAAGTGGCAAGAGTTAATCTTTTTTTTTTAAAAAGAAATGCTGAGCAATACTGTATTGTGTACATATGCCACACCTCTTTGCCTAATGGCCTGTCAATGGCACTTTGATTTCTTACGTCAACTGTTGTGAAAAATGCAGTGACCATCAGGGCTTAAAATTTGTGTTTTTATAACCTTTGAAGAAATATCCAGAAGTGGAATTACTATTAATATATCATATAGTGATTTAATTTTTGATTTTTTTGAGGACCCTCCCTATTTTCCATTATGCTCACAATTACGTACCCATAAACATGGCATGGGGTTTCTTTTTCTCCACAATCTCACTAGTTTTGCTGTTTGACATTTTGAGGATAGCTTTTCTAACTGCTTGAGTTATATCTTTTTTGGTTCTTGAGTTGTGTGAATTGTTTATATATTTTGTTTATTGACCACTCGTCTGTTACATGATTTGCAAACATCTTGTCCCATTCAATAGACTTTCTCATTTTACTGCTGCTATTTGCTCTGCAGAAGCCTTTTAGTTTGTTAGAGTCCCATTTGTTTATATTCTTATTTGTTTCCTTGCTGTTGGAGAGGAAACTGCAAAAATATCTCAAAGGTTGAGCTTGTCACCTATGTTTTTATGGATCCAGGGCTTATATTCCAGCCTATAATTCATTTTGAATTAATTTTGCAAGTGGTGATGTAAAGGAGTGTTGTCATTTCACTTTTCTCTGCAAGTGATTGTGCAGAGTTCTCAGCATCATTTTTGAAGATCCTTTCCAATTTATGTTATTGGCTCCTTTGTTACAAGTTATCCATAAGTGTGTGTTTTTATTTTTGCACTCTAGATTGTATTCCCTTTATCTGTCTGCCTCTCTTGATTCTAAAACCATACTGCGGTGATTACTGTAGCTTTGAGTATAGTTTGATGTCAGGAAGCATAACATCTCTTTTAGTTCTCTTTCGTCAATATTGCCTTGTCTGTTCAAGGTCTTTGTGGTTCTGTACAAATTATGGGTTTTTTTGTTTTGTGTTTATGAAGAATGTGTTTTTGTTTTGTGTTTGTTTTGTGTTTTTTCTTTTGTGTTTAAGAATCCGTTGGGATTCTTAAAGGGGGATGCATTACATATGTATTTTGCTTTACATAAAATGGCCATTTTCAAATGTTTATTTAGTCTTCCAGTCTGTGAGCATGGAATGGAATGTCTTCTCTCTCTCTTTTTTTTTTTTTGGTCCAGTTTCTTTCAATAATGCCTTACAGGTCATTTACTACTTTATTTAAATTTATACCTAGGTATTCTTTTTGATACAGTTGTCAATGGTATTGTTCTCTTAGTTTCTCTTTCTCCTAGTTCATTATTTACATGCAGCAGATTTTTGTATATGATTTTGTAGCCTGAAATCTGACTGTATTCATTCATTTCCAGTAATAACTTTTTTGTGACGTCCTTATGGTTTTATATATATAATGCCATCCACAAAATAGTGACAATTTTGCTTCTTATCCAATCTGGGTGCTTTTTTTTAAATCTTTTTTTTCTCTTAGCTTATTTCTCTGGCAGGAATACTATGGTAAGTAATAGTGATGATGAGCGCGGACATCTTGTTTCTGATTTCAGAGGAACGGTGTCATTGTTATACCATTGTGTTTGATATTAACCAAGGTTTGTCTGTCACATGTGACCTTTATAATGTTGAGGTATGATCCTTCTATCATTTTTTAGTCTTATAAAAATGCCTGCCTAACTTATTTTGTCAAACGCATTTTCTGCATCAGTCGAGATATTCACATAATTTTTTATCCTTCATTTTGTTCATGTGATATATCAAGCTGATAGATTTGCATGTATTTCACAATCCCGGAATCACTGGAGTAAATCTAACAATCATGGTGTTTGATCTTTGTAATGTACTGTGAAATTTGGAGATTTTTGCTTCTTTGTTCAGCAGAGATACTGGCCTGCAAATTTTTGAGTGTATGTGATGTCCTTCTCTGGTTTTGGTATAAAAAGATTTTAGGAAATACTGCCTCCTTTCCAACTTTTTGGGCAAATTTGAGAAGGTTGAGTACTAGATCTTCCTTTCTTGAATTTATATTAGAATTCACTAGGGAAGTCATCTGGCCCTGGACTTTTGGATTTTGGGAATTTTTGAATATTCTCCATTCATTTAACAATCATTTTGTTCAGGTTTTGTGTTTCTTCCTAATTCAGTCTTGGGAGGTTGAACAATACAAATGATTTATCGAACTCGATGTTCATAGTAGTTTCTTAAAATCTTTTGTATTTCTGAACCTTCATCTTTTCATTTCTTATTTTATTTGAGTCTTTTTGTTGTTGAGTCTAGCCAATGGTTTGTCAACTTGGTAGATTCTCCCGCCCCCCCCCCCCCCCCCCAGTAAACCAGCTCTTCATTTTCAGTAATCCTTTTGGTTGTCTTTTAAAAACATTTCTATTTTGTTTATTTCCACTCTGATTTTATTATTTCCTGAAAGGCAGGCTATTACTGCTCCCAGTTTCTACTAAGTAATATATAGTCTATCTAGTTGGAGGAATATTCCACAAGAATCATTGTGAAATAACATTTAGTTAGAAAATATATAATCTAATAAAAAGGGCATGCTCTTGTCAATAAAGAATTAACTTGGTCCTTCCTGGTTGCGCAGCTGGTTAAAGCACAGCACTGAGAAGCTAAAGCCACTTACAGCACTGAGAAGCTAAAGCCACTTGCGCATGAGTTCAATTCCCGCCTGCCCCGCAGGTGACCACATGGCGAGGCAGACCTCTTCTGACCCGTCCGCTGCTCCCCTCAGCAGTGTACTTCATCTGCCTGTTCTGCTCCCCACTCTGTCTCTGGTGAAGTCTCTCACCGCCCCTGAGCCTCTGGCCTGTACCCCAGTTCTGTATGAACAAATAAAAAAATCTTAAAAAAAAAAAAAAAGAAGAATTAAGTATTGTCTGTGTGTTTCAGGATCTATCAAATTATTATTTGTATAGAGATAAGCTTAAATTTCAGTTGTTTACTCTTAGGCATGGATTGATTTGATCAATAACGTCTAATTGTATCAAGTGTATCAAGCTAGCTGTATAGAAAGTACTGTGTGAAATTTATTGAGATACAGTTTAGGTGACTAGTTGTTTAAAAATAAAAAAGGTGTATAAAATGTAGAAAACTGGTATTACACAACTTCCTGTTAGTATTTGTAACTAGAAACTTGTGTTACTGACTTTAAATCATCCAGTTAGATTAAAGTATATAGTTATACTACTACTTTAGTTTAGTAGTGTTGAAAATGCCCTTTATTTCACATTTCTGCATTTGTTAAAATTCTACTCTAAATCTGTATTATCAAAGTTTACTCTATTAGGAAAAATGCTTTTAAATGAAGCCTAAGAAATATAGTTATTGGTCATTTGTTCAGTTGATATATTTGTAACCAGAAATCAACAAATCCAACAAGGGCTCTTCTCATTTAGTAGTTCTGTTTCATTTCAGTAAAAAGAAATTTGGATCATTAAGCTGATGTTACAGTGTGGAATATTTCAGTTATAATTGAAATTAGAGAGTTGTGATATTTTTGAACTACCAGCATTATCAGCACTTTTTTCCTATTGCATTTTTAGACATTTATGTTATATGATTTAGTTTTAATTTGTATGGGATAAAATTAGAGACTTTCATAAAGAAAACATTCATAAAATGTTACTTGATTACTGTTTGTAAAATCCTAAGAGAGACAGTTCCTTATGACACTCTTTGATTGGATATACATGTACTTAGTATTTTTCTGATTTTTATAACTAGTGATTATACATTTTTTGGGAGGTCACAAGGAATTTAAAAGAGGTTTTATAAAGTATTTTGTTATTCTCTAGAAATATGCTATTTTAAAAAGGTGATCTGTTTTAAGTTTGGTGTACAAAGTACAAAGATTCTTGTGCTTTATTTAGGGGCTGGCACTTTAATAACTGGCAGATAAGACTCTTAACTGTGTGGTTTGCTATACTGTTGGCTCACACTGCACCATGAAGCCACTCTTTCCTATTTTACTCAAAAACCTGGTCATTTTATAAAGGGAGCTTATTTCTCTTATTTATCGAGATGAGAAATTTTTTCGTGTGGGGTCTGGTCTCTCAGATTTGTAACAATTAATTAGGAAAGAGTTAATATCAGGACGTGTTATTTTTAAAGGACTCATTATTTAATTTTGACTGATTTTATTAAAATGAAATTATAAAAACATATAGAGCGTATGGGGTATCAAAAGCCTGAACAAAAGAAGTAACTTTTCACTTGATTGCAAGGTAATAAGTTCCCCACCCTAATGATTAATACAACGTTTAAGCAAATATTTTCTTTTTGATATATTAGGAACAAGTTAAAAATACTTTCTTTTATCCTTATCTGTCTTTAAAAATGAGCATTAATCATTATATGTCTTTAGTTAATTGTAACTTTTTAAAAAGAGAGCTTAAAAAACATACATATTTATATACAGATATCTATATACACACATGTAGGTATTTGTGTGTGTATATCTGTGTCTATGATGGTTATGGCTTGTGCATGTGTGTGTATGTATGTATGTGTGTATTATAATGGTGGCATTTTTAAGATAATGCTCATTGATTTCCAAAAGTATTTAAGCTAACTGGCCGATGAATGAGGCTTCCATTGTCCATTTTTGGAACTTTGAAAATACTACCAAGTCAAAAAAAAAAATTAAGTGATTGTTCTTTTTTGAGAAATTAGAAGTGTTGTTTTGTGCAATTAGTGTTGTGGATTTTTAAAATTCATGGTATTTTCTTCAAATTGGTTTATTTCAAAATGATGCCTTCACTATCAACTATTTTATGTCATCTGTAATTGTGTGCTTGAATATACATCCAAACTGATATGTCATTTTTTTTTTACAGGAGCCATCTAGAACAGTTTCAGGCAGATACAAAAGGTAAGAATTTCGAAGTGGTGAGTTAAAACATATCACATCGTATCAGTGTGATGTCTGTCTGACCATCTGACCATTGCTTACCTGAAACTTTTTTAAGCAGTTAAAAAAAAAAAAAGAAAGAAACCTTAATATGTGCTCTTAAAGAGAAATTATGTTGTAGTCAGGAAAGTAATGTATGTCTAACTACAACTTAATCTGATATTGATATACCCTGTATTTTTAAAACTGCATGCATCAAGAAAACCTAAAAAGACACACACCATGAGCTTACATAGGCCTGGTGAACTTAGCAAAATAAGAGCTTAGATTCATTTTCTTTTATATATATGTGTGTGTGTGTGTGTGTGTGTGTGTAAATTATAAATGCGACATCTGTCTTGGTCAGTGCACACTGCTGTAACAAAACAGCAGACAGAATGTGGCGTAAGCAGAAATAGATGTTCTCATAGTTACAAAGGCTGTAAAGTCCAAGATCAGGATGCCAGTATGGTTGGGTTCTGATCTGTTTATTTTCTGACATTTAGGTGACTGCTTTCTTGCTGTTACCTCACATGATGGAGAGAGAGTGGCTCTCATGTTTTCCTATCTCAGCCTGAGAACTCTACCCTTATCACCACCCTTCCAGTGCCTCACTTCCAAATATACCATCACTTTGCAAGTTAAAGCCTCAAAATAGGAATTTTTGTGGGGTGCACAATTCAGTACCATTTCCTTCTTATGTCAGATAATCCTCCTCCTTTTGACACTATGATTTCATATAAACATCTTCATAGGAATTTTAATAGAACCTATTTGGTTATGTTTGTAAAGGGAAAATTTTATTTAGGAGCACATTTTCATGCAGAGATAAAAGATTTTACAACACAACTGTTAACTTTTTTCTGGGAAAGTTTCTTATGATCATAGCTTTAAAACCTGTAGTTCTTTTGTACTGCACATATAGTTTTGAGAACTACTGAACTGACTTAGCAACAGTTTTTTGGTTTGTTGTCAGGTGTGAAACCTGAATTTTTAATAATAGGAGTTCCAGGCTAAAGACCAAATGAATCACTCAGTATTTGTCAAGGGATCATCAGTTTTCCTTGGCTATATGTGACCCCATCTAGAGAAATCTTCCATCTCAAGATCTTTCATTTCTGTTTTAGTGTATGAGTTGTATATTTTACCTAGTACTGTAAAGCACACAAAGGCTGTACCTTTTCTTGTTAATGGATTTTATACACGGACACAAAAATCTTAAAATGTAATTGAGATGCGGCTACTTTTTTGGTCTAAATTCATCCCGTGTGAATTTGTAAACCATTCTCTGCTTTGTAAATATTATTAACTAAGCTGTAAATGTTACTTCTATGTCCCAGACACTTTTCAAAGCACTTTTGTACATTATTTTCATTAATTCCCCCAGTAAGCCCCATGAGGGAACTATTTTATTCTCATCTTACACTTGAGGAAACTGAACACAGTGAAGTTTAATGATCTGTGTGAGATTAGAAAGATAAAATTTGACTACCTAATTAATAGCATATTGCTTGTCATGTTGCTGTTACTTATAGTGAATATTGATTTATCTTTTATGGGTAGAATATAGAATGATTTATTCAGAGTTTGATTTATCTTATTTAGATTCCAAGTAATTGGATGGTACCAGCCACTGGGTTTTATTCTGTTTAATGCAGATTTTTAATGTGACTTTTGTGTATGAAGTCCTGTATTTTACAGCTCTCTTTACTTCATTCTATTAACAATATAGTATTATAAAATGACTTTCATTCTTAAGATTTTGAGTTCCAACAAGGTCTAATTAGCTTTATGATCATGAAAGAGAAATTATATCATGATATTTGATGTAATTTTACCATAAAGTACATTATATATATCCTTGAAAATCAATCACTAAATTGAACATGCAGCACCATATTTCTTTTTCAAAGAGCTTTATTGAGATGTAATTCAAATATAAAATTTATCTTTGTAATTATGCAATGCAGTGGTTTAATGCATTCATATTATTGTAATTCAAATATAAAGTTTATCTTTGTAATTATGCAATGTAGTGGTTAATAGTGCATTCATATTATTGTAGAACAAAAATTCCACTAGCTCCAGATCTTTCTGCCCCCCAAAAAGGGGAAACCTGGTTCAACAATCAATCCCTAATCTTTCAGTCTTCTCCTTAGCTTTTAGCAACCAGTATTTGCTTTTTGTCTTCATAAATTTTCCTTTCTGGCTTTATCATAAATGGAATCTTGCATTATGTGGCCTATTGTGTCTGGCTTCTTGTTGTTTAGCATATTTTCGAGATTCATCTATTAACAGCATACGTAGATAAACCATACTTCTTAAGCCATTTATCAATTGAAGAACATTTGGCTCATTTCCACTTTTTGGCTAATGTGAATTATTGTATTTGAACATATAATATGCTGTGAAAATGTATGTGTGAATTTTTAATTGAATCCTTACTTAATTTTGGTATACAGAAGTATACAGAAATTTTGTGTAATTGAAAATTTTTCTGAAAAAACAATGCATGTTTTATATCAAAAGAGTTTCCTGTTAGTTCTGAGGTGCAAAGTTACTGTGCTTGGCTGTTTGGGAGATGCATTTTAGAGATAAGAAAGTGTATGTAATTTTAGCTTTTCTTACCAAATAAAATGACCTATGTCTAGAAAATGGTTCTCCCTACCTTCTACCCTAATATTATTTTGCCTAGTTGTCAGGTAATGAAATTTCATAGGTCAGCTGTATTTTATGAGATAAATACATTATTTAGAATCTAGAATAATTAACTGAAAAGTACTAAAATGAACATGTGATAATCTACAACTTAAGGTTCTGACAAGGGAGAATTATATACTATAATGTATTAATGTGAAATTATAATGTGGATATTAAAGTGGTGATGTAGAAAAACAATTTTTTTTTGGAAATTATTACCTATTATGTTAAATGGGGAAAGGCAGAGCATACTAAGAGTATGATATATGATACACAAAATCTGTTGTGTGTGTAAAACAAAGTATTCTTAACTTGATATATTGATGAACTAAAATTCTGTGTAAAAGAAAATGTTTCTTATCTGGGAGCAGAGCTACATTTTTTTTTTTTTCATCAATGTTTTAAAGGGACCTGTGATTCAAACTACTAATATGTTGTAAAATGTGTTTATATCTGGGTTGGTGGGATTATTGTGTTAGGGGTTGGTATTTTCTGTTTCCTGTAGTGAATATGCATCACAATTTTAAGTCAGTGGTCGATTTTATCTTTAGTGGTGTGTGTGTGTGTATTTAAAGGAAAAGAAAAAGAGAAGACCCTTGCTGGTAAGGGTTGGTGGTAGGGAGAATAAAGTAATAAAGCATACTAAAAATATGGAGAGGAGTCATGTACTTGTTGGCTATTTAGGAATTTCATGATTTATCTAATACTTCTAAATATTTGACATTCATTTTAAAAGTAGATTTTACTCACGAGTCTTACGTTCAAATTGCTAAGATAAAATATCTTTTTTAGTGGAAAATTCCTAATGGTAACCTCATAATGCTGACAATCTTGTTCTCATGATAGTTTTAGAATAACAGAGTTTGTCCATATCACCCTTCTCTCCTTACCCCCAATACATCTCCTAATATTTTCACAGAAGATGTGAAAATTCCCAGAAGGAAAAAATCTTCTAGCAAAGAGTGATATTTATGTATGATGATTCTATTTATTCTTTCCTTTTCTGAACATTATTGTTTATATCTTCATAGCTAGAGGGAGCAGAGGGCAATTCTTTTGGGAAGTGTATTAACATTCCTGATTAAAATGTTACAGGTAACTTTTTTGAGTTATTTAAGAAATCTTTTATTCTGGGTATTTTTTTCACTGTACATACCCACTCTCAAAATAGGTTAAAAACATGTCTGTTTTTGAAATAAACAGGATTAAATTTGGCAGAAAGTTAAAGTAATAGAGATTCACAATTGAGACAGAATTCCTTACACTCCTGATATAAATGAGTTAAAAGTCTGATTTTGTTCTTAAGTAATAATTATTCCTTGTTTTGAATTTTGAGTTATTTACTTTGACAAGTTATTAATAATTTTTAAATGTTACCAGGTGGAACTTTTTGAAATTCTGTTTTTTAAACTTGTATTTCAAGCAAATATACAACTATTAGGGGATTGTCCATATTTCTGGATTATTTATATTTGTCAGTATTGTATTTGCTTCTTGAGAAATCTTGTGGTCATTGAAGATAGACAGACATTTGGATAAAGAGAGACTCTTTCTCCCTCTCCCCCAACTATCTTATCTATATCCAGTTATTTACCAAGACTTGTAGAGTTCTTTTTCCTGTGTCACCAATCTAGGCTGGCACAAAGTCCACATTTCTGTCTTAGCACCAGTGGATTTTGATACCATCTGCTGAAATCCACTAGGCTTTCCAAGTTTAAATACCGAAAATTCTAAATTTAGGATGTTTCTGAGATACTAAAAATAGATTTTTAGAAGTTGTTAGTTGGGCCCTCCTAGTGGCGCAGCAGGTGAGCTGACCCACATGGCGCAGCAGACCTCTCCTGTCTCGCCTATTGTTCCCCTCAGCAGTGTATTTCAGTCAGTCTGCCTGTTCTGCTCCCCAATCTGTCTCTGGTGAATCCTCTCACCTCCCACACCTCTGGCCTGTACCCCAGTTCTTGTATGCATTAAATATTTTTTTAAAAATTTGTTGGTTATGCAAGTATGGAACTAGTAATTTGAATCTTCCTAATAGGAGTTGACAGTAACTGAGGTCATCAGAGTGAAGTAAATTTCTGTCAGTTTGGAGAGAGAATAAAGTACTGAGAGAAAGAGCTGAATAACACTAGTATTTAATGAATGGTTATAGAAAATGAACTACACATAACAGCAAAGAAACTGAAAGAAATTGAGAGTAAAATATCATTGAAGCATATAATGTAAATGGAAGAACATTAGAATGTTAGTGCTATTGTTTTACTGTTCTGTATTTTACAATTAGT